AATAAAAAAAATACATATAGACCGGGTCAACCGGGTTGACCCAGCCGGGTCAATGCTCCGGGTCGACCGGGTCAAGGCCGGGTCGACCGGGTTTGACCGGGTCCGTTGTTGCCCGGTCCAATTAACCCACCCGGACCGGTTCCGGATCCGGGTCGACCGGGTCCCGGGTCGACCCGCCGGTCCGGTCCGGGTCACAAAACAGTGATATTGTTAATAATTATCTTTCAAAATCATAATAATTCATTACAACTCATACTTACATGTGAAGTGGAATACCAAAATAGTAATATACAAGTAATTTAAGAGTATATTACTTACTTGATGCAAACATTTACACCAACCCTAGTTAAACGGGGCAGCCCTGGCGGGTTGGGCTAGCCCTTGTGGGCTTCGGACTAAATGATTCGGGCCTAAAAAACCTTATTTAAACGGGCTACTAATAAAAGGACCTAACCCTGTATTTTCTGGGCTAAACGGGCTGGCCCGTCGGGCTAAGGACCATTTAACATCTCTACCCACAATGCATTGAGTCTAATTTTACATATGTGGCACTTAAGTCCTAAATGACATGGACAAACTCAAGTGAAAAAACTCAGAAATTATTCAATGCAAAAATGAAATACTAGGTCGCATACATGCCAACCAATAAAAATGCTCTAATATGTTTCATTTATTAAAAGAAAATTTAAATGAGGAATAAAGGGTAAATTGCACCAAACCCCCTTGTGTTTAACGAAATGTGCGCGTTTTTCCACTGTGTTTTAAAAACTACACCAGACCCCCTTAGGTTTAAGTAACCGATGCACACGTTCCCTTTTTTCAATTTCCAGTTAACGGTGTTAATTTTTTACAAAAGCCCCATTATACCCTTCGAATATTATATATATATTTACGATATATTGAATTTCTCACGATATATTGAATATATCGCGAGAAATTGAATTAAAAAAAAAACTGTCTATGGGTGGATTCAAACCTGAGACCAACAAGGAGAATAGTAAGCAAGGAACCACTACACCACTCAAGCTTGCGTGTTGGATGTAGTAAAATTTAATATACTTTGACATTACATATGGATAAATGAAAAATATATTAAAAGATAATGTAAATTATATTAAATTAAATTATTAAAATATAATCATATGATAAATTAAAATATAATGAACCAAATTATTTAAAATTAAGCGATAACAAAAATATAAAAAATAACTTATTATATTAAATAAAAACAAAATAATTAAAATAAATTAAAAATAAATTCAAAAATTAAAGTTAAAATAATAATATTAATTGTATCTATATTTAGATTCTTTTTATATTTTATTATTTATTTTATTTATATTATTCCATATTATTTGTTTTGCATTATTTATTTTATATTATATTAGTTAACAAACTTTGTTTATTTTGTTTATCTTAAGATCATGAAATAAAATTAAGATAAATTTTAATAATAGAATTAGAAATTAAAATTATTTATTAAAAATTAAAATCATTTACTACAAAATTATAGTTTTTTTTCAAATTTTCTCCGATATTGTATGTATGAGTTAATCATATTACACATATTTGATAAATTATTTTATTATATTAATTTAAGATTTTTCTTTACTTTATTTTATTATATCATAATAAGTTATTTGGTTTATTATTTTATTTTACTTTACAATTTTTATACTTTACTATTTTTATAATATTATTATTATATTTTACTTATTTTTTTTATTTAGTTTTATTATCATTGTTTTTTATTTCAAAATTTATATAATTAAATTATTTTAGTAATATAATTGTAAATTTATTTAATTTTAATTCATGCTACAATATTAAATTTTATTGTACTTTATTTTAATTTAATTGTTTAATTATTTTTATGTTAATTTAATTTATTTCAAGTTATTAATTATTTAATTTATATTAATTTACCTATTAGATTTTTATTTATTTTATTTACTTTATTTTTTATTTTATTTAATTCATTTTCGTATTATATTATAAATATATGCATGTTCAATAATTTACACAATAGTCATGTAGCCCAAGTGGTTGTGTTGGGCGTGCTCTTCCTTTTCAACCCGGGTTCGAGTCGGGTTCGAGTCTCACTTCCTGCACTTTAATTTTAGCTTTTGCAAAAAAATTCAGGAGGGTATAAAGGTAAATTAGTAATTCTGAAAATAAAAAAATTGAACAAAACTCGCAGATAGAAAGGGTGTCATACACGCGCGGTTAACTTGGACGGAATGGGGGAACCGTGCATTAGTTACTTAAACACAAGGGGTTCTGATGTAGTTTTTAAAACACAGTGGGGAAACGCGCACATTTCGTTAAACACAGGGGAATTTGGTGCAATTTACCCGAGGAATAAATGATGAGTGCTTTGGTTTGTACCTAGGTCCAAAATAGACCCAAGTGTGGACTTGGTCTCTTTTTTCTTATTGCCACATAATCTAGACAATGTCCA